GAATGTAAATCAAAGGAAACAAAAAAAAAAAAAAAAAAAAAAAAAAAAGCACTAGATCTGCGCAGGGGCCAACTCACCGGCTTAGAGGTGATCACACTGCAGGGGGCTCAATGGCAAGAATCCAGCAGCACCGACAAGAACAGGACCAGAGAAAATGAACCAGATCTGCCACAGAGGAAGAAGAAGAAATGGGGGAAAGAAGAGGGGACAGAGGGGTTAATGTCGAGTATATTCGACAGCAACGCTGTCGAATATATAAGAAACATAATCGACAGCCTGTTGGCTGTCGAATAAAACTATATATTCGACAATTATTTTGTCGAATAAGTTTTCTGTCAATTATGTGGCAAAAAATCGATTATCATCGACAATCAATCTTATTCGACAGTAATGGTGTCGAATATGTCCTTTTATTCGACAGCTACTTAGCTGTCGAATATGTATTTGTCGTTTTTGCCCAGTTTTCCAGTAGTGAAAAGAGTTCTTTATGATATTACATATAAGGTTATATGTAAAATATTATTTACCCTCCATTCTAGTTTAATAGTTATAATTTTATTTTTTAATCTTTTATATATATAATTTTAAACAGAAATATATTATATTATATTTTATAAATAATAATTAAACATTTTTAAAAATAAAAGTGCTCAATTAAAATTATATATTAAAAAAATTCAATTATTATTCATTTAAACTATTAAATTTAATTTTACATAAAATTCATATTTTAAAAACCAAATAATCAAATTACAACTATTAAATTCAGATGTATAAGTGGGCCATCAATTGTTTTTCTACTTTTTTAAGAGAGATTCTTCGGTACGCTGCGGTACTTCATGCATTATGAGGACACTGGAGGATCGTGCATCATGCACCGATTTGGTTCGTCAGTTTGGAAATTTGAGGTGTAGAACATGGGCAATTAACTCGAAGATAATTTCCACTAACAACTAAGCCCTGATAGTCTTGAAGTTAGAATTTAGTTGGTAAGGGGTTTTACTTTCTAATTTATTTACTAAGTTTTACTTTTTTTTAAGAAATTAGTGAAAAAGTAATTTTTTTATAAATTTTTTAATATTAACATAATTAATTTACCTTTAACTTTAATTGAATAGAGAAAGATTTAGTCTTAAGGTGCATATAAATTAATTTGAAAATGCCCTAGCTGTTAAATTAAAAAAAAAAAAAAATAATAAGTTTCAACGTTATTTTGATGAAAATTTATCAACTTACAAACAAAGTAACTTATAGTATTAAGATATTTTTGTGATTAAAAATTTAAAAGTTTAAAAGTATCTATATTAGAAACTCCAAACTTAAATCCTAAGATGTGTAGGAAGAAATTTGAAAATAAAATTATTATATATTATTATATAACTCATCATTTGATATACTTAAAAAAAAAAAAGTAACAAAATCTCTTCAAAGTAAATGGAAAATGATACCAATAAAGACATCAATTTTTAGGCTTTTACTAATTAAGGATGCAAACTGTCATAATTAAGTTACTAATTAAGAATGTGTACTATATATATTTTCTAGGATTAATTGAATGTACACGATAACATAATTAGTCAAGTTACTAATCAACCAATAATTAATCCTTATTTGCTTATTGTTTTTTGTAAGATATTGAATTGAGTGTGTTTTAATAATACAACTAATATCTGAGAATAAGAAGCTTTTACGTTTTATAGTTAATATGCTAAGTTAATTCTTTTTCTAACATTTTCATTATTCGAGGCCACCTTACACTTGAGTGTCTAGGATGCATATAGTGATTTGCATCGGCAAGGATTGGGCTGTGGTCTCTGTTTTTCTTATTGTAGTAATGGTACTGAAATATTTTCCCCTTTCACTCTCAAAAGCAAATGATATTTCACTCAATTGTGGCCTTGACTTGAACAAAAAATTATTATAGTACTTTTGCGTTTCCCCCTAATTAGTACTTGTGCTGTGGATAGTTTTATCCCCCTAATTGAATTCTAGGGCATGAATAAAATAATCTAAGTCTCCAAGAGATTTGAACCAGAGCTGCCGCCGTCCGCAAGAGGAGAAAAAACCTTGCCGCGTGGATGACCTTGTCCATCCAGCGGTGGGGTCTCCTACCACTTTTTGTCCATTCTTTTATACTTGCTTTTTATCTCTCTATTTGTGAGGGTTTGTCCTGCTCTTTGGTGCCGCTTCGTCCCTCAGGTAGTGAAAGTTTGTGCCACCCTGTGGGCTTTGTACCTCCACAAGTGGGGTTTGGGGTTTTGTGTCGTTCTTAATACAATATCATTTCTCCGACGTTAGGAGTTTATTTTATGTTATAATATGATAGACAAAGTCTTGTCACCACCTCTAGATTAGTAAGTGAAATAGTAACTTTTCATTTCAAAATTTCCAATGTTGAAGTAAGGTTCTTTGATCTCGTCGGTTTTGGACGAATGTAAAAAATGGATTATAAGTTTGTTTGCAAAAGTTGCATAGGGCTGATAATTTTATGTCAAGCTTTATCATTTGATTACAAACTATCATAGTGTTAAGTATGTTGTGATAATGTAACTAATACTTAAGAAAGAAAAGATAATTAAGTATTCATATAAATTTATTTAACTATCTTTCTTAGTTTGTTCTATTTTTTGGGTTACATAGTATAGTGAACATATTTGTTATAAGTTGTAACATGTGAGAATGATAAACTACTAGATGCCTCTAATAAGTGAGGCAAAGTTACATTATACTTTTTTTTAATAATAGAAGTAAGAAAAAAATACAAAATTATATTGTACTTGTTTTATCTCTTTAACTCAATATAAGATATATGATTATTTTTATATAAAAAAAAATTCTAAAGCATGAATCTAATTAACTTCTACATACAAGAATTATAACACCAAGACTTGAACACCTCTATATCACTTTGGCACATTCAAAAAAATAAAAAAAAAAAACTTTTTATAAATGTTAACCTTAAGACTAAAACTCTAAATCTAACTTATAAAACAACATTTGCTTATCAATACAACATGTAAATTTGCACTTGCTACATTCATGAATATGTGGATTCTTGCTATAGCAAGAGTGAATTTGTTTTCAACACATCACCAAGTTTCTTGGCCAAATTCTATCTAAATTACTCAAGGAGATACAACAATATGCTTTGCCTCACATGTTGACAAGGTAACAATGGATTGCTTCTTTTGAATTTCGAGTAAAAGTAGTATAATTCATGCAGAACATGTACCTATTAGTACTACCATTTCAATATATCATCGATATCTCTAGCCTAATCACTATTACAGAATTCTTAGGTACAAAAGCAAAATAAAAAAATCAAGATTACATAACATTTTTTTTTATCAGCAAAATAAATGAGATTTGATTAGATAGAGTACAAGGGGTACTCCAACCCAAATACAATATAGTAAACTAGTCTAACCAAGATACCAATTCGCAAGAAACAGTTAAACTAAAAAACCAAACAAAAACCCAACACCCTACTCAGCATGCTCTCCATTCTTATGCTTACGGAACTCCCTCAGCAGGCTTCTATTCTTCCTTATGGCAGCAGCACATTCCAGTGGATGAAATTGCCAATCATATAACGAGAAAACACTTCCAGCCACCTTATTTTTGATCCACAAAAATGTTTTGGACTGAATCATATGGAGCAAACCATCCCTACACTCCCCTTTGTTCTGGAAAACTCTAATGTTCCTCCAATACCAAATATACCAAGACCCAACTAGGAAAAGACAAGCCCCTAGCTCCCTCCCTACCAGACCTCCCAACTCGTACAAGAAAAACTCCATCACCCCTCCCACTGTATTAGGCATCACAACCTGCATACCCCACCAAGAAATCACTTGAACCCAAATTAACCATGCTTCATCACATAGACAAAATAAATGATTACACTCCTCTTCCTCTTTAGTGCACAAACCACACCTTAATTCTTCTACCAACAAATTTATCCCTCTTTTTTCTAGATTTATTTTTGTTGGGAGTCTGTCCAAACATAATCTCCACCCAAAAAAACTAACTTTTGAGGGTACTAATTTACACCAAATCAACTTACAAATTTGATCCGGAAGAATGGACTCCATTGGTGACAGAAACTCATAAGCCTTCTTCACTACGTATCTTCCTTCTGCATCATGCATCCATTTCCAGCAATCTTCGCAATCTTCCATGATTTGTACTCTGCTTAGCACCTCCCACAACACCACCTCCTCACCCCTCTCTCGACCCAGCCTCCCTCTTCTCCAGTCAATATTCCATCTCCATACGCCCCTTTCCCACACCCCCATCTCACAAACCATACCGTCCTTTTTCAGAGCTAGCTCAAATAACCTAGGACATAAATCCCTTAAAGATTTATCCCCCACCCAAATCTCATGCCAAAAACCTACACGCCTTCCATCTCCAACCATCCACCTAAACCCCTTCCCTAACATGTCTTGTACTTGGATAGATTTTCCCCCGACACTAATAACATCCCTCCAAATCCTAGACACCCTCACACTATCCACTGCCCTGATGTCCGCCTCCCTCCGACCCCCATAATATTTATCCCAGACGACCTGTTTCCATAGGCTCTCACCACCATCACCCAGCCTAAACCACCACTTCCCTAAAAGTGCCCAATTCCTCCTCCTCAAATCCGTGACTCCTAGCCCACCCTTCTCCTTACTACGACACACCATCTCCCAACTAACCCAAGGAATCTTCCTCTTTAATTCAGCCCCTCCCCACAGAAAATCCCTCTGTATTCTAATCAACTCAGACACCACGCAATTAGGTGCTAAAAATAAAGACATATAAAAAATAGGTAAGGAAGAGAGTACCGAATTAAGCAGAGTAATGCGGCCACCAAAGGACAGCAAAGCAGATTTCCAGATGGCAAGCTTGGTTCGAAATTTATTCAACACTGGGTCCCACGACTTCTTAGTCCCAGGGTTTCCACCCACAGGCATTCCCAAATACACAAAAGGTAGTTTCCCAACACCACATCTCAAAACAGTTGCTGCTCCATTTAACCATCTTTGTGCCACATTAAATCCGACAATACTACTCTTACAAAAGTTGATTCGCAGTCCAGACATCAATTCAAACCATCTTAAAATGGTTTTCACAGTAAAAATATTCTCTCCATTTGCTTTTCCCAAGATCACCGTATCATCCGCAAATTGGAGCAAAGAAATATTCAATCCCTTGCTACCCACATCGATTCCATGTAGTAAGCCCTCTGTCTCAGCTTTTTTTATTAGACCATGTAACCCCTCAGCAACCATCAAAAACAAAAAAGGGGATAAAGGATCCCCTTGCCTTAACCCTTTTCCCATCGTAAACTCCTCGGTTGGGCTTCCATTCACTAACACTGAGATTCTGGCTGTTGAAAGACACTCCTTTATCCATCCTCTCCATCGCACTCCAAACCCAAACCTGTTCATCATCCAATCCAGAAAAGACCAATCGACACAATCATAGGCCTTCTCAAAATCAGCCTTAAAAATAAAAGCTTGGTGCTTTCGTCTCTTGACCTCCTCAACAACTTCATTCAAGACTAGCACCCCATCAACTAATTGACGCCCCCCAACAAAAGCAGATTGAGTATCACTAATAATCCGTGACATTACCTCCTTAAGCCTATTTGCCAACACCTTTGCTAATAATTTATAAATACACCCAATCAGGCTAATAGGTCTAAAATCTTTTAATTCCACAGGATTCAACTTTTTAGGAATTAATGTCAAAAAAGAGGAGTTTAGACCCTTTACTAACCTGCCATGTTGATAAAACTCCCCAAAAAAACTCACAAAATCCTCCTTCAAGCTGTTCCAGGCAAATTTGATAAAATTAAAGTTGTATCCATCCGGTCCTGGTGCTTTATTCCCCTCACAGCTCTTCAATCCATCTTCAATCTCTTCTACCGAAAATGGTCTTTCGAGCCATACCTTCATCTCCTCCGAAAGCTGCTTGAAAATAATGCCAGATGGTTTTGGACGGTTCCATGATTCTCCACAAAACAACTTTTGAAAATAATCAACAGCCGCCTTCTTTACTAGCTCTGGCTCCTCCACCCACTGTCCATCACATGAAAGCCCTACAATGCCATTACAAGCCTTCCGTCCATTTGCAATTTTATGGAAAAATTTGGTGTTTGCATCCCCCAATTTTACCCAGTTACTTCTTGACTTCTGCCTCCATAAATCTTCCCTCTTCCTCAAACTATCCCATATCTCCTGAAAGCCCTTCTGTCTGTCATGTACCTCTTCTTCATCCAATGTAAACTCTTCATTCTTCATGTCTACATGTGCAACTTTGGCAGCTGCCCTTTCAAATTGAGCCTCGATATCCCCAAACACCTCTTTGTTCCATTCTCGCAAGAATTCTTTCAACATCTTCAATTTTTGTTTACATCTATAGCCTGCAAACCCATCCACTGCCATTGCATTCCACTGTTCCTCCACCACCCTCTTAAACTCCGGATGTTGTTGCCAAGCATCAAGCACCCTAAAGGGTTTAGGACCCCAATCCGATACTCTGGATTTCATAAAGATTACATAACATTAACATTTGACATAATAACGAATATTTTTTTGATTTACCTTTTTCTTTTAGAATATAGTAGTTAGGTAGTATTATAAGTCAACTTTAATTTATATCACATTTCATTAGATGCTAATCAACTCACAATTGTTGAAATTAACTTTTTAAGCACTTCTTTTGGATGGTACTACTTCTCTCGTAAAATGAATAGCACTTATTTGAAAAACTTGACATCCATTTAGACAATTTTTCACTAGTTTTGAGCTGTTAGAGAAATAATCATAAGTTAACTTTAATTTACATCACATTTCATTAGATACTAATCAACTCACAATTGCTGAAATTAACTTTTTAAGCACTTCTTTTGGATGGTACTACTTTTCTTGTAAAATGAGTAGCACTTCTTTGAAAAAGTTGACATCCATTTAGAAAATTTTCCACTTGTTTTGAACTGTTAGAGAAATAATAAAATCTTATAGTGTCTCTAAACATCCTTTCAGGGCAAAAATTACTCCATAATCAATGCCTTGCCTTGACATTGCTTGT